CTGGAAGGAAGCTGGTGATCCAATAGCACAATTTCTCGGGAAGGCCATAGGAAGGGAGCTTCGAAAGAAGCGCTTTGTGCCAAACCCGATCGAAGGCCTTCGCAATGTACAAACTAACGGCCAACGAGTCAGGTAGACCAGAAGATCACCAGCTGATCGACCCCGACGAAAACCGTATTGGCGGTTACTAATCATCTGGTGATCCTCAAGGTACCGCATGAGCTGGCAGTTAATAATGGATTTCATTATTTTGGAGAACAAGGAGGTGATGGCGATAGGTCTGTACTTGGACAGGTTTGAGCGGTCGCGTTTTTTAGGGATCGGGTGGACAAAAGCTGTCTTCCATGATTTCTGGACTGCGCCTATGGGCCAGTGAGTCATCCTCCCTGTGCAGAAATGGTAGTGATTGTTTACATAAATTCCCTAGGACAGCTTTGACGAGAGACCAGAATGCACGGGTTCCCGAAGGAAGGCGAACTAGTTTCTCGCCAATTATGCCTATGTGCTCTGACTTTGCCTTGGCAATAACTTTTTTGAAAGACCTGGATGCGAACTTAAACTTCTTTTTAAGCATGCTGGTGTTTACATCCCGAGTCGCCGAAGCCGCAGCCCAGGCTTGATAACACTCCTGCTTACTGCGTAATGCATTCTTACAGGAGCGACCAAACCAAGGCTAAGATCTGCCTCCAATGGGTACCACAGATGATGGAATAAATAATTCAAATCCCTGTAGCACCACATCAGTGACAGAGTCAGCAACAGCGCTGGGATCATCCGGCGAGAATCAAACCCGCACCCATGGGTAGGATGCAAAGAAAGACCGCATTCCGTCCCAATCCGCCGACCTGTAATACCAAACACTGCGGCAACCTGCAGAACGTAACCGCGAGTGGAGCGTGAGTGGCACAACACTCCGGATCAGATAGTGGTCTGAAGAGCCGAGAGGGGCATCGACGGAAACCTGATATCCGTCCGGATGAGAGGTCAGCAGAAGGTCCAACAGGGAAGGTGTATGAAAATGAAAAATGAAAAAATGTTTATTTACAGCTAAAGTGGTACAGATTATAATATACATTATAAGATGATAATAAAATGGAAGTACAGTAGTTTTAATTTTCTAGTATACAATTACAAACTATGATCTTATCACACTAACTAAGCTGGAGTGTATAAACAAGGGTGTATAGTTCTGTGGTCCTCACACTAGGCATGCCTGTGTCGTGAGGGCCTGATACGATTTTTTTATGGTTTTCATTTATTGACACTGGGTCGACGTACGGTTATTACATTATGTAAGCTTTTGTTTTTAAAATAAAATAAAATATAAAATAAAATAAATATTTATATTTAGTTAATATGTATAAAAATTAAATAATTAGAGGTAAATTAATAAATTGTTAGTAAAGAAAATACTGTTATTCACAAATATTACAATAATTAATAAAACATATATAAATTAGAAACTCCTATAGACACATATGGATTACATACTGTATTCATATATTTTATTTACGTACATTTATGATAAAGATTACGGTTTAATTAGGTTTTCTGTACTATCATAGCTCAGAGTAAGTAACCATTTTGTTATGGTTCTTTTAGCTTCCACCACGGATTTTTCTTTTATATCGCAATACTTAAGAACGGAGTTGTACACTTGAGTTCTCACGAATTGCCCAAAACGTTTAGAAAAAGCAGAGTTGATAGCGGGAGTTGGCAAGCGGAATACTCTTCGTTTCAATAATGTCTTATACTCTGGAGATGCCAGAGTACTCTTATGAACAGTTAGGGAGGTCTTCAATATGAAAAGTTGTCTTACATTTAATAGTCCACAGTCCTTATATAAATCAAGAGTTGAATATCTATACGGCTTTTTTAATATTACTTTTATAACCGAACGTTGCGCTCTCTCAACTCTGATCAGGAAAGTTTTTGCTGCACTTCCCCAGCAAGTAATACAGTAAGTAATAAGCGACTGGCATAACGCAAAATACACAGATCTTAGAGTATTTAATCCTGTTATGTCGCGCAGATGCTTTACAACACCAATAACCCTCCTGACTCGAGCCGAAAGAGCTATTATGTGATTTTCAAATGTCAGTTTATCATCAACGAGGACACCGAGATATTTAATTACATCGGATCTACTCAAGGTCTCACAGGCACACGATTTGCTTGTGCAAGAAGGCTCATGAATCTTAACTACTGTTTGTTGTACTGGCGCAGTGACTGCTGTCTTATGAAAGCATAGGTACACAGTCTTCTTGGTATTTAGGGTCAAGAGATTATTTTGTGGCCAACTAAAGACCTGTCTTAGACCTCTTTCAGCACTGTACAAAGCATCGTTCCACGTTGAGTCATGGAATACGATAGCAGTATCATCGGCGTAACATATCGTTTGGGCGTTTTCCATGGGTAGGTCATGCATATCATTGATATAGACAGTGAATAAGGTAGGACCAAGTATGCTGCCTTGCGGTACACCAAAAGGTACATTTTGTGGCAGACTCACAGCCCGACCAATCTTCACACACTGTTTCCGGTCCGTGAGATAGCTCTGAAACCAATTACCGGCAATACCTCTAACACCCATAAAGTTTAATTTTTTTAAAAGTATTGGAATTGCCACAGTGTCGAAGGCCTTGGCTAAGACTAAGAAAACGCCCACACAGCTCTGTTTAGAGTCAAGTATTGATGATATCGTAGATGTTAAAAGGGACACAGCATCTTCAGTACTTCGACCTTTTCTAAAACCGAATTGTCCTGGCGAAATGAACTGTCGAGATTCCAAATATCCGGTAAACCTTTTGTTTACAAGCTTCTCAAGTAGCTTTGAAAAGACACCTAATAGCGAGATGGGCCTATAATTTTCTACAGCTACCTTTGAGCCACATCCTTTATAAATAGGACAAACAGATGCAAGTTTCCAATTATATGGAAAAACTCCGCTTTCTAGGCTTAGGTTGTAGATATAGGTGAGTGTCAGGATGATCGAATCTTTTATATGTTTTATTAAAGAGTTAGCTAAGCCATCCATACCAGGAGCCCTGTCATTCTGTAATCCCATAATCATAGCACTAACTTCTTTTGGATCAGTGGGAGTCATGAAAAATGATTCTGTGAAGTTACAATTTACTCGTATTTTACTAGCAAGATCTTGCTCAGTTTTATTGATTTTATTAAGTGTTTGATTTGCTTGGTTTACTCCTACCGTTGAAAAATAGCTATTACATAAGTCAAGTGGGGAACTTGTTATGTCAGAGCATTTCATATCTAATAATTCTGTGGAATCGTTTTTACTGTTGGGAAAATTACAAAAATATTTAATTGACTTCCAGAGTTTTCGTGGGTTATTCTTATTTTCGATTAGTTTATTGGTTTCAAAATCTAATTTACGTTTACGCAAGATATCAATAAAAAAGGTCCGATATCTAGTATAGGTGACCTTAAGCGGAATGTTATCAGGTTCAAGCTTTGTGCGTTGGTGAAGTCGGTCCTTATGTTTCATGCATCTGATGAGTCCCGGTGTGATCCAGGGTTTTAAATTATATTCTGTTCTGGTTAGTCTCACTTCATGCGTATGCTTACTTAATGTATTCACTAATATATTTGTGAAAATGCTCGTCGCTTCATTCACCTCTTTTTTGTTTTTTAATTCCTTCAAAATTTCTTTTGAGAACTGTTCGGCTCGGCCGCATGGGTTTAATTTTATTTAAATTCAGACCCAACATAACCGGATAGTGATCTGTTATATCAGACTGACAGACAATCCCGACTGGTTTCCGGCTTAGTTCAGAATCTGAGAGATTGATGTGGTCGAGACATGATTTTCCTCTGGTAGGCTCTGTAATAGCCGGTAGTAGACCATATTCCGCCATAACACATTGATATTCCAAAACCTGAGTGTTTGTACTATCTGACAAATTGACATTCATATCGCCAGTAATTATAAGGGGGCAACTGTTAGTTGAGGAATGTATATAGGAATCAAGTGACGCCAGAAAATCTCCTATATTTCTACAGGACGGAGAGCGATAGAGAGCTAGTATAGAAATCATGTCTAGAATTTGTACCGCTAAACAACTAGAATTGTTAATGCATGGTTCTGTAACCGCTGCTCGCCATATGTCCCTAACGTAAATTACAACGCCACTGTTTTGGTTTGAGTTATTTTCAGATTTATAGACGTTATATCCTTGCAGCTGGTGAATAATTATCATATCATTTAGCCAACACTCTGTTAAGATTATAACATCATAAACAATACCTGTTCGTCGCATTGCTACCAAGAAACTATCAAAATTCTTTTGAATACTCCTAATATTGAAATTTATTAATTTAAAGTTATGTTCTTGAGAAAATTTGGCTTTACACTGCTCTAGTTCACTGACATTATAGCAATTAATCTTAATCGAGTCTAATTCAGTTTCAAAATTATCATCTATCTCTTTTGGTTCGATAAGCTATCCAAAGACAAGGTATACCATACGTATGTTAATTTAATGACCCATTTAAATTTTACTTCACTATTTTCACAAAGCAGTGATAAGGTGGTTGAAATTACTGATGAGTGATCCTTGAATTCTATTCCAAATATTGTTATAATATATGAGTGTAGAATTATTAAAGCATTTATATGCAGTATACAAATAGTACAATATAATATAGTTATTATTATGAAAAATATTAAATAAATAGTTATAATAAATGTACGTATATATATGTGAACATGCAAATCAATATGTATGATACTGGATATATGATTCATAATTCTTTTCGTGATAGTGTGATTATACAGTATTAAAGTACAAAAACTTACCCCAGATTTCAATGCCGTTAAAAATGTACAACTTGTTATCTTATCAATCATTACAGTACAGTAGAGTGCAATAAAATATGGTCCTTTAAAAATGATATCGTAAACAGAATTATTCAAAAATATTGACATACATTTTGCACCATGCAAGAAAAATAGAGATATGATGTGTTTGTAATAGTTTTTAGATATCCTCTTTAGTTGGCAAATGACGGTCCAGATCGTGTTTACTTCTAATAAGTGTTGCAGCTTTCCCTTCTCGTTTTCTAATATATATTGCACCCTGGTTGCACCAGCAGAATGCATAATCATGGGTTTTGGCTCTCGCTCTGGCTTCACGAAATAAAAGTCTATTTTCTTTCGTAAGTCGTTCGTTACAAAAAATTTTAATCGGCGAGCCAATTATTCCCAGGTCTGCGCTGGTGAGGGTCTTTCTTGATTTGAAGGCTTTTAGTAGCTGGTCGCGCTTGGATCGCCGGAGCAAACGCACTACGATGGGTCGAGACATTCTACTGCCACCATCTGGAACATTAGGAGGTACAGCCAGGCGCCGAGGTCCAACGCGGGTAATCCAGTCCACGTCGACGTCTTTCAACTGTGCTCCAACTTTTTGTGCGGCCACCTTAACAATATGTTCTAGATTTTCATTATTACCTTCTGGTATACCGACGATCTCTATTTCGTTGCGGAGCCCCTGTTGTGCTTGTATATTCAGCTCATTCTGTAGATGAGCCACAGATGCATGCAGGTTTATAATTTCCTGATCGCGTTTTTCTAGTTTTGTCAAGCGATTTTCATTGGATGACATGCCCCGGACTAACTCGTCCATTCTTTCATGGCAATGGCATAGAGAGTGCGTCACTTCTTCCAACTTTGTTTTTAGTGTCGAAAATTCGCTAGTTAAGCGAGCGATTACCGCTGTTAATTCTCTTATTTCTGCCTCAGGGGTCTGACAGTCGGAGACATCCTTTTTGCGCATCGTAATGTTTTGCGAATCTGGGTTAGGGCGTATTGGCGTTTAGGTGTTATCGCCGCCTTTTTTCTTGGAAGCACTACACTCGGGGTACTTCCAGCACTTTTTCCCCTCCCCTGTAACTGATGTTAAATTAATACAGTACGAGCAATATGTTTTTTCGCATTTTGGCGATGTACATGTAATGACACTTGCATTCTTAGTAACCTTCAGACAACCTGCGCACTTCATGGCCAATTAGGTAATAAATATATCGTCTCAGAAATAGTAATATAAATTTCAACCAACTGCCCAATATGCACCGCACTAGTCATTGAAAATATCAACTCTGCGATACGCTACGCTCACTGCAAACGGTTTCCACGGTTACGTCGAACACTTAACCGCGCGTATGCTCTGCGCTGCAGGCTTTACCACTTACCCCACACTTGTTATTAATTTCTTAGTGGTAAAATTGTTGTTCACTTTTAATTCGAAAACAGCTATAATTTAGCAGTTTGTACTATACACAATTTACAGTCTTATTGTTTAGATACCACACAAACAGAATATTCAAAGATTTTTAGGATTCGTTGAACTTAACACTGATTATTGATATAAAAATGCGGAGCGATTTTCAAAACAAAGTAACTTGTTCGACCGAGATGTCAAAGATGCGCCACGGGACCTCCACATCTGGAATCCGCGTAGGCGAAGTAACCAGTTGTGTCAGACCATATGCCAAGGCAAAGTCATAAACAGATCTACCCGCATGATCGGTTAAACGTGAACCGAACATTCGGTGTGGTGGGCGTTAAAATCGCCAAGGATCACGATCTCTGCGGAAGGGACCTGTTGTAGCAAGGAATCTGTAGTCATTTGGACGTGGTCGATGAGTCGGTCTGTTTCGGCATTACCGCTATGGGACCTATAGAGGCACCCGTAGATGCGCGGATGGTCGTCGCTGTCTACGCGTAGCCGAAGGATGGACAGGTCCGAACCTTCAAGACTGACGAGGCGTCGAGAACAGATGTCGTCTCTGACGGCCCCCCCACCCCCCAGAATACGCGGGGCAGCCTGAGCACCCACGCTCAGTAGTGGTATAACATGGTCGTGGATGCTCAGCGAGGGATTCTCCAGGGTGCTGGTACTCTCTTGGGGTAGTCTTATGGGGTTGAATCCAAAAAAGTTTATTATTTGATTTGATTTGAATAAGAATGTCATCTTAATAGTAACAAAGAGTAATTATCTATTTTTCCACACTTAAGGGCGGAATTTTTTAAAGATATATTTTTAAACCGTTTCAATAATAAACAAATACGTCGAATATTACCTCTTCCTTTTTTGAAGCCGATTGGAAATAAAGCCTTAGTCAATATTTTTGAATATTGCATCATTATCGTGAATGCATCTATATTTATGTGTACGAGTGTGCACTGTATCTGTTCGGAAATTTTCCATTCCATATTAGAGTAAAGTATGAATTGTTATGTAGAACCATCGTAACAACGCATCGCATCATAGTGCTCACGGGTGACAATGAATCTGCGTTTTGACTTTTATTATGATGGTATTTCACTGTATACGAGCGTGGTCCTGCTCCATCGAGTTAACCTATTCGCGTTGCAGTCATAATACACTATTGCTTGGCTTTATCACGTATGTACAAACGTACAATACCTATATATATTATTACTATTATGTACATAATGGTCATATTATTGATATTTGTAGCAAATAATTTTACGTATTTTCGTATCCGATGAACAAAGTGTACTGAAGCGTTAAAATAACTTACTTTTTTCGGCGGAGTGTAAGAAAGCCAATTTTATTGAATGCTTCATCGCGTAACTAGCATAGAGACATCAGCCATACAAAAATGTAAATAGTTTTTCATATTACCTGTACACACATAATATAAAATGATGTACATATAAACCGCGTCTATATAAAAGATACTTTTTTATACCTTTTTACTGGTTGTCTAAGCATATTTGACTCAACAAACATATTTGGCAACTCTATTATGTGTTATCATCTCGTACCATTATTACCGAAATTGGTAATAAAATACTCGTGAAGGCTCGTAATTATGATCATATATATCATCATTGCAACCACTGTGCATCCATCCACTTTCTACATATCTTACCAGGTCGTCACTTTATCTAGTGGGAAACTGCCTTACACTTCGCTTACCGGTACGAGGTTGCCACTTGAGAACCTTAATTCCCCATTCCCGGGTCTTCGAGGTGTATGACCGGCCCATTGTAACTACAGCTTACTAATCCGTTGGGCTATGTCGGTTACTCTGGTTCTACTGCGGATATCCTCGTTTTAATTCTGTCACACAGAGAAACCCTGAGCATAGCCCTTTACATAGTTCACTGAGTGACCTTGAGTATCCTCATACGGCCAGCAGTGAAGCACCACGTCTTAGATACGTATATATTATTATTACACTATCCAATTTTTTTTTGTACAATGCAAACGAAAACATCAATCAGTTCGATGTCGTACTGAAATGTGTGACATACTCGTAGTCTGTACAGCTGCACTTACATACTCGTACATACACATCTCTCAGTAGAGCGTACTGCAATGCAGATGGCTAAGGTCTGTAACATAAATTGCGAAGAACGCCTTCTAAAATCGGTTTGTTTTAAACTAAATACATAATATGAGTGATTCGTACTAATTCATTATTAATACAAGTGATGTAAAATGGTGATTGTTTGTGTTCCATAAATATCTTTATAATGAAAAGCTAATTAAGTGTTAGGTGCAGTGACATACCATGGATTACTGACGGCCGAAATGGTCACCCTCTCTTCCTCACTTTCTTAAGTATATTAAGAAATATAAAATCAGTAAAATTCTTCTAGTCTGTGTATATTCTTTGCAAATGAATAAAATAATATAATGTATTTATATTCAATACTAGCTACCCGCCCCGGCTTCGCCTGGATAGGATCTATTAACGTGGCAATATTTAGAATTGAGACAAATTCTGTTTGTAAAGTTTCATTACAGTCGGTTCAGCCATTCCGAATATTAGTCTTGATAGACAGACAAACAAAATGTTTAATAATGGTTATTCATATTATCTTAATGGCATGCATATTACCCCCTCAGCTCAAGAAAAGACAGTTATTTCGAAATTATTCACAGACACTTCACCTTTGGTAAGTGTGTGCAGATTATTTTTTTTTTAACTGACAATGCCGCAGTGTTTCACGTAGTGTATATTTTCTTTGGCAGTGTCCGTTAAATTTTATTTGAAAAAAAATCAGTAAGTCTGAATTTGAATTTAGCAACATCTATAGAAGCTTATTTTTAAATAGAAGTTATATTTAATTAAGTTTATTTGATTAATGTTTTAATTATTTTATAGGAGAGGGTGAGAAACGAGCACACAGTCCACCTGATGTGATCGTAAGGGATTGCTGTGACCCCTAGACATCTACATTTATCTATACAGATAAATAAAATTGAAGTGTCTGTTTGTAATGTCAAAATTACAGCTTTTTACGAAATGCATATGAAAGTATACACGGTAATAATAACAAAAATACAATTTTTAAAGTTTTTGTCCGTCTGTCTGTCTGTCCGTACGTCTGTCTGTCTGTTTGTTCCGGCTAATCTCCGAAACGGCTAGACCGATTTTGACGGAATTTTCACTGGCAGATAGCTGATGTCACAAGGAGTAACTAAAGCTACTTTTATTTTAGAAAAAGAATTAGGGTACCGTGAAAAAAATTAAAACCCCAAAAAACACGCGGGCGAAGTCGCGGGGAACAGCTAGTCCTCAATAAATAATCAAAATGCAGATGCGTCGTCAACCGTGAGGACTAAAATGGAATGCCTCTTTTCCAGTAAAATGGGTCTCCGGTTCTCTACACTCACCATACGAAACACATCTCTGTCAAGCTGCCATTTTACGCTGGTATTCTGTGAGAGCATGGTGTTTCCCCGGTGGAGCTGACCTATTCGTGCTACAACTATACTACTAATATATGTAGCTCCAGCATAGCTCTACCACGTACATATATGGTTACCACGCGAAAAAGTATTTGTATGGTCTACAAATAATTGCCTATGTCTGGATGTGTCTGTGCAACTAACATAATAACATTATGTTTGTAAACGCCTCGGCATTTGAAGGGAAAATCTTAGTGTGAATTAAATTAAAAAATATATTAAATGTGAATATAAAAAGCAATATAACTAAGCACAATGTATTATACGCCTTAACAAACCTACGAAAACATTGATAGCAGATATGTATTCGTACGAGGAGGATTCAATAGATTACATTAATAATTCAAGACAAAAAAAACTGACAACGTATTAACGTAACTAACTAATATTCCCGTTGATTTCTCCAAGTAACGTTAAAATCCCTGCATAGATTACTGAATATGCTTTATTTGCCTGTTAAGGTATAAAACAAGGAATTTGAGTTCATTTTGAATAATATTCAAGAAAGTACAAGGTCTCTAATTTTATATCCTCATTTCAATATAAACTAGGCTCAATATAAACTAAATAATGGCATCGCAATATATTTATGAAAATGTAATGTATGTACATAAAATCATAAATAGCTTTAATAAGAATAAGGATGTGCATACTTTAAACACTAGGAACAAACATAAGCTCGTAATTCCAGTTACTAGACTCCACAGAATCAGTAATTCATTTATTGAGCAATGTATACGCTTTTACAACAAAATCCCAGAATATATTCAAAGTTTGTCAATAAACAAGTTTAAAAGTTTTATTAAAGAAAAACTGTACAAAAAGGGTTATTATAATATCAAGGAATACATGAATGAAAATAACCCCTGGGAATAAAGTGATCGCCACCATGCTGG